ACTGGAGAAATTATTCTTGTACGCCTGTGCCTTACGAAAATGTTCTGAGTTGAACACTGAAAAGTAGCATATTGTCTGCATCAACGAGAAGCATCATAGAATGGCATTATAACACTGTCTCTATTTCGAGGATGCGTTTTCGCTTTGCCAAGCGGCAACCAAATATTTTGTCAAGTATAACGAAAATAAAGGTCGTGTAAATATAAAGGTAGAGGGAAGTGGCAAATGAGACTGTACTTTTACATCCATTTCTATTTCACTTACTATGAAAATATAGAATTTCTGGAGTTCAGGGCCTGTGCTGGTCTTGCCTTTTCCGCTGCAGCTATCTATATTTCCTGTTTGTAAATTGTGGTTTGTTTTTTAATAGTTTATTTTGTGTATTTTGCAGAGCTTTATATTGGGAGAAGAGTATCTAGGCCGAAAACCTGTTATGTAAACACAATGACGAATAACGTTTTACACCCGTTGGTGTGTGGTGGTGGACTTAACGTATGACGCCGATTCTTTTAATCAACTTTGGACAAAACTCTTGAGAGCATGTAAATTTGAAAATGATGACAGATTTAGAGTGCTTAATTAACAAAAGTTGACAGTATTTATAACTTTAGAATATTTGTAACCATTGTAACTATCAATAATGTCTTGCATGACACTAAATGTCCGTGGTATTTTTGATTATCCTGATCATGGTTGTGATTGTTGTGTTTGGTTGTGATGAAAACATTGGTGATTTGCCTTTGATGCTTATCGTGATGTTAGTGGCAAGTGTGACGATGATGACGATGACGATGATGATGCCATGATGGTGTTGATGATGATGACGAGAGAGAGAAAAAAAAATCTGTCGACAGATATCCGTGGGTTATGCCAATTATTGGTAATGAAGACAAACAAAACAACAACAAAAATCGAAAAAAGTAGCGAAATGTATGAATCTATATGCAATTACATCTACCACTCCACCACTATGTCGTCCTGATGATGATGATGATGATGATGACGGTGGTGGTGGTTTCTTGTACACCGCCGATGCTCGCCTCTTCTGGGCGTTCATAGCGTTTTTCTACAATGTCTCACAAATTTACTTAAATTTATTGTGACGATTGAGGGAGAGGACGAAAGAGAGAAAGATGAAAATGGGAGAAAAAGAGAAGAGGTAGAGAGAGAGTGATGGAAAGGGGTGGGGTGGACATTTACTTAAGATCATGTTTCGTTTTTCCTCATACTACAAGACACAGGCGCGGATCCAGGATTTCTTAGGGGGGGGGGGCCAAATTTGAAATTATGCGAGCCAGATATTGGTACGTAATGGTGACCAGCAGTGACGTAATGCAGGGGGATGTAGGGAGGGGCGAGTTTCCCCCTCCCTCCTCTGCAAAGCGCGGAAGCTATATAATTATAAAGTATTAGAGAAAGAAGACAATTCGTTGTACCGTTCTCGACTCTTAATCCTTCTCTTAATTCAGCCCCCCCCCCCCGTCTCGCGCGAAGCGCTGAAGCTTTTACGTTTCATTAAATCATTGGAGAAAGAAAACGATTCGTTGTATCGTTCTCGACTCTTAATCCTTGTCTTAATTCAGCCCCCTCCCCCCTCCGCGAAGCGCGGAAGCTTTGACGTTTCATTAAACTATTATTGAAAGAAGACGATTCGTTATAGCGTTCTCGAAAATTATCCTCGTTTGAATGCAATTTTCCCCTCCCGCGCGAAGCTCGGAAACTTTTACGTTTCATTAAATCATTGACGAAAGAAAACGATTCGTTGTACCGTTCTCGACTCTTAATCCTTGTCTTAATTCAGCCCCCCCTCCGCGAATAGAGATAGAAGACGATTCGTCGTACCGTTCTCTATACTCTTAATCCTTGTCTTAATTCAGTCCCCCCCCCCCCTCCGCGAAGCGCGGAAGCTTTGACGATTCATTAAATTATTAGAGATAGAAGACGATTCGTTGTACCGTTCTCTATACTCTTAATTCTTGTCTGAATTTCAAAGATGTTTTTTGTCTGCTCCTTTTTCTCCCTACGTCCTCTTCCTTTCCTCTACTCTCTATTTTTTCTACCCCCCCCCCCCCCCCCTGGCTACGCGCCTGCGGTCAGATAAACAAATTTTGATACCTTGTCAGACCCGAGAAGCTCAGGGGTTTTAGGCATTTGATTACGGTCAGATATATTTTTATACCTTATTTGTGACACTGGCAGGACACTAATTGGCGTGAGGTCCAGCGGGCGAAGCCCCCAGAAAACAGGGGTTTTAGGCATTACATTTCCGTCAGATTAGCATCCAGGGGAGTCTAGGGCTTCCATGGATGCAGTCTTTGTTCTCTTTTTCCGAAGTCCGAAGGGTTGTAAATATTTACTAGGTAAATTTTAGTTTGACTGAGCAGGAAGGGACTTCTTAAAAGAGCAAGCTGAATATTCATTTTTGGAACACTGATCTATTTCTATAACTTTTAATCTTGTTAACATACAGTGTAATTTGTACATACGTGATACCAACAGAATACACATTTTCTTCAATATTTACTTGTATATTTTTAGGATATTATGCGAAGGAGCGTAGCGACCGAGCGAGAAGATTTTAGCATTTCTATTAGTCTAAATGCTGTACTGTTGGGCCCACCAGAGCCTTAAAGCGTGTTGCAGTGTTTAGTCAGTATTTGCTATACATTTTGTTGGTGTGCACTTTTTCAAATTATCCATGGGGGACGATCCCCCTCAGAAAATTGAAGGAAGACGTGAACCCTGTCCTTCCACCTATTTTGTGTTTTGCTCAAAAAACTATCCACAAAAAAGGACTATGTATGCCCCTTTTGTGAAGCGACCTATCAATATTAATGTTCACATATCAGTCCCTTTTTGGATTGCCCTCCTCCCGCCCCCCCCCCCCAAGAAAAAATATTATCACATTGTTACATGTGTGCACAATATATATTGATTTTTCAACCTTACAAAAGTGGTGTTTTCATAATGTTTATTGACATCCTTTAAATTTATATTTATATGGAAGACTTAAGAAGTCAACTGTTTACAGTCCAACTAAGGGTGTAGAGCATGCCGTGTAGACTAAAATGTGCAATGTTGTTCAATTTCTGAATTCTTTGTTTAAAAAACTTGCTTGCTGTCAATAGTGTATACATTTTTTATACGTTTCAAATGTCTAGTCCGGTTAAAAATAGCACGTAATGATTTCATTATTTGACACGTACTTCACATTGATTCATCTTATCGATAAGCGAAACGATTTGCTTTAGTATCATATAACAAATATAACAGTAATGACAAGTATGGTTTTCCTGAAAATTGCATTATACAATGTATATTCATCGTTATGGAAAATGTTGTATAATATATAACAATGGGCATTAACATTTTCCAGACCATCGATTTAATTACGTTTAACATTGAAGCTGTTGCCCTTTGTATATACATGAACTTGAAATAATAAGTAGCCTTGAAAGTGTCGCAATAAATCATGTGTGAGTGAGCTTGAAGTTTAATGGTGTAGGTTTGTTTGAAACTGTATAGCCTTTACTCTGTTTTTAATGAGATATATCTCCAATTAAATCAAATCAAACTGAGTGATGTTATCGTACAACTAAACAATATCAATCTTCTGTTCTCCTAAATAAGCCTGGGAAACTTGAAAATTGCATTACAATGTGAATTCATTGTCAGTGAAAATGTAATACAATACACAACAATGGGCAAATAATTGTTTCCAGACCAATGATTTAAGTACTGTACTCATATCACGCTTGTGATTAGCACACTGCCAAGACTCCAATTGTAATACTTTTTAATACTTTTTAATACTTTTTAATACTCAATACTCAATACTCAATAGTTAATTACAATATTTCCAATGTTACAGTTAATTGAACTCACGTATCTGTATACATTTTATTTGTTTATATGTCAACATTTATTCATTTTTGCTAGCAATATTTCATATCTTGTATTTAAAAAAAATCTTATTTGTTGTTTTATTTTCTTGTTACTACTTTAATGTTTTAACTTAAAAATGTATTCATTGTTATATATTTGTCCTCATTTGCCGTTGTATATACATCAGGCGCGGATCCAGGATTTCTTAGGGGGGGGGGGGCAAAATTGGAAATTATGCGAGCCAAATATTGGTTCGTTATGGTGACCAGCAGTGACGTAATTGGGGGTGGGTGGGTGCAGGGAGGGGCGAGTTTCCCCCTCCCTCCTCCGCGAAACGTGGAAGCTTTGACATTTCAATAAATTATTAGAGAAAGAAGACGATTTGTTTTACCGTTCCCAAAAAATAATCCTCGTTTGAATTGAGTTTTCCCCCTCCCGCGCTAAGCGGAAGCTTACGTTTCATTAAATCATTAGAGAAAGAAGACGATTTGTTGTGTCGTTATCCCTTTTTTTTTTTTCTTCTTCCTCTTTTTTCCTTTCTTGTATCTCCTCTTTTCCTTTTTTCTTTCCCTTTCCTTCCTTCTCTTTTATTTTTTAATTGGGGGGGGGGGGGCAACAGCCTGGGAGGCAAGTCCTTTTGCCCCCCCCCCCCGATCTACTTCTTCCCTCTTTTCTTTTCTTCTTCCTCTTCTTTTTTCCCTTTCTCTCCTCGTTCCCTTTCCCTTCTTTCCTTCTCTCTCTCTCTCCTTTTTTTTTTTTTTGCGGGGAGGGGGGGGGGGGGGAAGGCCCGCTCGGCCCCCTGGATCCGCGCCTGACAAGACAGTCGTCCAGCTAAAACAAGAAGAAGAAAGGAGAGGAGGGACAAAAATCGGTAAAAATGACCCGATAATGATTACAAAAAAGTGCGTGAGATAAGGGGCTTAAATGGTTGATGTTTACCAAATCAAATATGTACATGAGGAGGAAAAGCGGTCACAGTATTTAGAATTATGAAATCCTCCCCGCCTTTTTATCGCGGTGCGCTTTAATACCATTGACACGTGAGATGGAATCAATGCTCGTATCTACTCATTTTCAACTGGTCCAACGGGGCTTTAAACTACAACCATTTAATACCGAGCCGGGGTCCACGCTTACACAAAACACCCGGAAAAACTTCCGTGTCCTCTTCCGCTTTCGATAGCATTATTTGCCAAGTAGCAATTGGGTAAGAGATGTGCAGGTAGAACACTTCATGCCAAAAACAAGGTTCTATGAGTACCACTTACTCTGTCTCTCTTCTATCTGTCTCCGCAAATAAGTTACATATAACCTAGTTACGTCAATCGACTCGTACTAAGGATACATAGCTGCGGCGGTAAGTAGTTCAACACTTGTAAATTTTATGATTGATATTGAATTATGTCTGAATGTTTAATATCTTTTCAACAGCAGTTTGTGATAAGGCGAATCTTACCCGAGGCATCGCAGGGTTGTATCAATTGCTTGTGCTATTATGCTACTGTGGTGTGCTATCTCTGTTTCGAAATCTGATACAGTTACTGCCCTTTGACTTATTAGAGATCCGTTTGATAATATACATTCTTAAGACTATTGTACATTGATTATTGTCCCTTATTTTGTCTAGTGAGAATCTCTTTGCATTGTGCATGAATCTACAACCTTATGCTGGGAAATAGATTGTGTTGGCAATCGTTTGATGAAATTATTGTTTTGGTGGAAAGTCATCTTTCCTTTTATCTTTTTTCTATCAACCTGTTCTATGAACACTTAAGAAAAAGTTAATAACTTTATTTAACTTTTCGAAGGAAACATCAGGCCTGCTTTTTCCAATTTGTCGTGTTATTTATTGTGGGTTTTTTGCGGGGAGGGGGGGGGGGGACTGTGGTGGGGGTAGGTCATAGCCACTCACCAATGTTTAACTGCTCGGTCTGCATGCATGAATTAAATGTTAGTTTTCCTTATCACAGTTGGCTTCATAGTCTGTAGTATTATCAAAGCTATTCTCGGAGATTTTTAAGGATACAGACTTGTATTGAAAAAAGGTTCATTATTTTTAATTGAAGTTTAGGCTGCGATATTTGCTTGACACCTCTCTGTCTTCTAAAAAAGAAGACCATATGACATTGCAATTATATGACTTCACTGTGTGCACGTAACAATTTGCCGCATGTCGATTTCATAACTTAGCATTGATAGATATAGTTGTTATAAAAATGTCCCAAAGCGAGGGGAAATAGCGGAAGCGGGTCATCCGGAATTATCCTAGGGCTTTTTTGGTAAAATATTCGATAACAATCAAGGAAACTCATCAAAATAGCTGTTTGTGCAATTTTTCACAAACTAACTTTACAAAGTCATAACGTCTTCGAAAACAATTTGTAACTCACACAAAAATCGTGCTAAAGAGGAATCTAAAGGCCATCAGTACTAGTGTAACGGAGGGATTAGACCACACTGCAAGATCACTGGACAGGTGGTTATCTCATCAACTCAGCTGTCAAATAACATAAAATACAGAGGATCATGGGGGACCAATGGTCACCGATTATGCATTGTTTGTCATATAGAGGGCGCAAGTATCTACAAGTAGAGGAGTGTGGCTTTAAAAGACAATTGCTCTAAACGAAAGCAGAAAATTCAGAGGAGCAGACATGATGAACGTTTCAATTTAATCTGACTAAAAATAAGAAAGTTAAGATTTTTTGAAAGTTGCATAGTCACTATATAATGTGCACTTCAAATGGGCTGAATCGGTAATGTCACTGTGACGAAGTGCCGGACTACTTTCCCATTTGATCTAACGCACCATAAGTTATGGCACAGGAGCGTCTATTCTCTTTATAGGACCTATACTAATATGCTATCCATAAAATATTTTGAGTAGTACCCCAAAGGAGAAGGCAATTACATGACAAACATAAATAACAGATATTTGTGTAAACAGCAAACGACAGAGTCTGTCACAGTCCACTGACCAAACTGCCAATTTGAGATTCGCGTAGACTTAGTGATCTCATATTTCAAACATTCCTAACTTTTTTTTATTGGTCCGATTTATATCGATTTTCACCATTCTGTTTATCTGATTGTTCTGCTTTCATACAAATGAACTTATTAAATGGGTTAGATTGCCCTTTAACGGTATGGAGTAATCTCACAACTTCAAGGTGTTATAATAATTTACTGTGCTGTGACTACTCTCTATAACTTGTTTTAAAGCGGATGCTCTCCCCATTTATTTGACTGTCAATAGTCTTGCTGTCAAGAGAGAGAGATGAACCGCATTCTCACATTAATGGTTTAGAGGAAAGAGTAATTAATCATGAAAATACAAAGAACTAGCATCTACCTATTGTGAGATAAAGCTCATTTCTACTTTACACTTCACAAAATTATCAAAATATTGTTTATTGGATAGCTTTTATTTCGGCATTGGTCAAATTGAATAATGCTAAACTGATAATAACTATTTTCTTGTTGGTACCCGCAGACACCATTATGGGCCTTTAACTTATTAAATAGGTCTATGAGCTTAAAATGAGCTTGTTTGTAACATTGTCTTGTGTTTTACAAGTCTTCGTAGGCAAAATTTGGAACAATTGTATTTCTTGGGGATCCATAAACTACAAGCTCTGCTTTTTAGTGGATCCCCCCATTTTCTCAGAAATTAAGAATTTCTTGTAATAATGTTATTATGTGCAAAGTGTATTTGTATAGTTACCAGAAAAATGAATTATGTTTTAAAAAAAATGTAATACCCTTGTTTATCTTTCTGTTGAAAATTAAATAAATATGAAGAAAAAAATTGAAAAAAAAAAAAAAAACACGATTTCAACAGGGGCGGTTTTGGCGCTCCTTGCCCTGAAATCAACTTTCCATTTCCAGTTTTTACTAAATAGCAAACAATTAGGCCTGGTTAAATAAAGATGTTATTCTTATCAAAACCATGAAGAGTACGCGATTTACTTATCGCACTGCCTGAATACGAGGTGACAATTGCCCTCCGTTTCAAGGTATACGTATATTTATGTCAACAAGGATTCGCTTTCGTTTTCAGTTCTTTAAAATGTCCATTTCGTCTTTCATGTGAATTTAATACGTCAACTACTAGTACTTTATCCTGTGGAAGTACTGAAACGGGAATAAATCAAATCAAATATGAGTTGGTGTTGGCCGCGAATACTGGAATCTCCAAAATTCTAGCGCTTTAATAAACATCGTTCGTCTTCGGTAATACATCGGTGATAGGATTGCTTGCAAATTTCTCATAGCGTTCCCGGTATCATGTGACCGTGCTTCGGGTGGGGGGGGGGGGGGGCACTATTAATCAAGAAAGAAATCGAAAGTATACTGACATCGTATAGTCATGTGAGAGTACACATGATAATTATCATGTCGATAAATGTTTCCGGTTTAATAAATAGTGATGTTATCAATTAAAATATCGTTGGAAAATATTTGTTGATGGCATTACCAGATACTAGTATTACGCATGAAAGTTGGTTTGTGTTTCCTTTTCTTGATGTATTATGTTTTGTTGGAGGTGGTAGGGCATTTCATAGAAAAACGGAATACGCAACATCATGAGACACCAAAATAAGAGAAGGAGAAATAGAAGAAGAGGAAGAGAAAGAAGAATTAAAAAAAAAGAAAGAGGAGGAAGAAGAAGGGAATAAGAAGGAGAAGATCTAGAAAAGGGGAAAAAGAGGAAGAAGAAGAAGAAGAAGAGGAAGGAATAAGGAGAAGAGGAAAAAGGAGAAGAAGAAGAAACAGAAGAAGAAGAGCAAAAATAAGAATAAAAAGAAGAAGACATTGATCTATAGAGATAGAGGTAGATAGATACAAATAGAGAGAGAGAGAGAGAGAGAGAGAGAGAGGGAGAGAGAGAGAGAAAACACATTCGAGAAACGAGTGTCATAGTGCCTCGTTGACACTTGCCCGTATTTTGGTCCCGCACTGCCCCGCTCTGTGGCGTGCCAATGCGTGCCAATTAGTGGCACGCAGCGGCACGAAGGGTCACGTCTAATTTACGAATAGTTCACGCAATGCGTAACCACCAGGACACGCATTCGTAGACTATGATCATGGCATGCGAAAATTGCGCGGGAAGTATGCGCAGCCAAAGCGCAAATTGTGCGCAAATTAGTCGTTAACTAGTCGTGAATATGCATGCGTGCCACTAGGCCATCGGACACGAATCGGCGCGCACTGGCACGACTAGGCAGCGCATAGGGTGCGCATAGTTCACGAAGTGTTCACAAACGTTGCCAAACAAAATTGTCGTGCCAAAATTTTGAACATTTTGAAAATTCTGTCACGCATTTCACGCACGTCCCGCATCCGCCCGCATTCTCCCACACGCTACCACGAATACTTCCCGCACTGGCACGCAAGAGTATGTGTCTATGCGCAAACTATGCGCAAACCAAAATGCGGGCAAGTGTCACCGGGGCATTACATTGTCTTGGTGCCGAGAGGGTTAATGCATACACCTAGACGCATCCGGGGAAAGTTGATCAGCGTGTAATGGAGAATGCCAATAATATGTTCATCGAATTGTTTATAGAAACTTTATAGAAACATGAATCCTATACGTTACTGATTTACATCGATCTATGTCATCAAAATAAGGTCACTCACTCTATGACTAATGTTTCTTTGAAAGAGGCCTTATGGCTTTCAAGGTCCACGGGGTGACGTTTCAATTGGAAATAAAAGAAGAACAAAAAGAAAAGAAAAGCGAAAGTAACCAAACCAAACCAAACCAAACCAAACCAAACCAAACCCAAACCAAACCAAAACCCAAACAAAATCTTACAGTTTTAAAAAGCTTTAAAACAATGCGGGAATGTTTGTATCAAGTCTACACAGTTCAGTGACTTTGTTCATTAGAAAAATGTTTTAAACAGTGTATCTCATTATTTACATTCGGGTGTACGACATGGCACTCCTTTCCATTTAAGGCACTCAAAGGCGTGGTTAGTGCAATTAGAAAAAAAAAGGGGGGGGGGGTAGGGGAGATCGGATGTCGTACAACTAACGGTTGTTATTTTCACACTAAAGTACATTTTCAAGCCCTTATGCTTTGAGGGAAGTTCTAAATTAGTATTATCTTTAAAATGCCGTTGGAATTTAACTTTTTTCATTTTTGGGCCTGCAAATGGGACATAATACCTTTAACCTTTGATTAAAACTCGAGTAGTTATACAGGTGTCATATAGATTCGCAGTATAAGGGAAGTGCCTTGCTCTTCGTGGCCATTTGATTCATTGTAAACATCCATGATTAAAATCAAAACGTTTTGTATCTAAATGGTTCAATTTCCCCCGGAATCCATGCGATACTTTGCCTTTAAAAAAAAAATCCATCATACAGGAACGCCTCTTTCCTACTATAATGACATACGAAGGGGAATGAACTCCACGGGAGCTTTGCTATATTACATTACTTGCATCATACTTACAGAATTGGACCAATTTATTTTCTCAAGATAAAACATTCACGTCTATACTTGTATATTGTTGAGTGAACAATATTTAACATAATTATACTGTGCTTACATTCATCAAAATGTTGTTATTCTGTAGGTCGAAGTGACTTGTTACCATAATACAAATCATACTGCAAATAAAATAATTAAACGTTACTTTTAGTATTTTTGGTTGCATAGGCCTACATGTACATTGATATGAATACATACATGTAAGTCTCGGAAACCACAGTAGGAATCATGACTATAATGTTTTTCAGAGGTGCTAAAATCTGCATCGAAAGGGCATTGGTTGTTGCCATGAAATATCAATTTTCGAGGTTAGTAATTCTTTATAGAAAAAGAAACTTGCCATTTGTAATTCAGCAATTTCAGAAGCAAATGATTATATCGTTTCAATTTACCATGTCGCGCTATAACCACAAGGCAATACCGGTTCTTATGGAGGGGGGGGGGGGGCTATGAGGAGGTCAGGCCCCCGCTCCAAATGTCTTCAAGCCCCCTCCCCCTCTCCTTGAATGCAAGGACCGATCGATCGATCGATCTAATTAACTGGGTGTAAGCCACAAATATGTTTAAATAATTGAATTTTCTCTCAGGAATCATTACATTTATAAAAGAAAATAGTATTGTTAGAACAAAAATATTTAACTTTCATGGTTGAAGCAGATCATCTCAATCACATTAGGTCAGTAAGCAAACGACACTGGCTCGGAAACGCAGATATCCGTCGGATGCGCACTCCGGAAAATCCGTTAGAATTCTCGACCACTTTCAGAGTTTAAAAAACCAAAGGAAACAACTATATAGTTTGCGTAATGGCATGACGTGGCACGGGTAAAATGAAGCTATACAAAAGGGAACAGTATTTGATTTCAAATTGTCTAAGAAGTCCGGGTTCAAAGACTTGGTGTATCAATCTACTGGAGTCGCATGCATTATACGATTTTGATTTGATTTATGCATATATAGAAGTGTCTATCGTACATAAATCATTAATTTGATTTGATTTGATTTTTGATTTATTTATTTCTGTTTGATTTTCTTTTTCTTTTGCATTTTTACAAATATATAAAAAACAAAATTGCATAATCAATTAATCAAATGTTATACACATTTATTTAGCTGTATAAATATTTCATATCTATATAACTAACTAACAAATTACTACGTCAATGCTTTTACTAAAAAAATACGTAAGAAGATGTATAGCGAAGTTCAAGATAAACAGCAAACAGAATGCAACTATACAGAGTCAGCAGGATTTTTTTAAAGTTTTTTTTTAGATTGTTTTCTCTTACATCAAATGCATTTTTTTACAAATCATTCATATTAAACAAAAGTGTACATATTCTTCATAACACAACTGGATGCAATGTACATTGATGTTTTGGCTGAAACATGAATTGCAATAATAAAAGAAAAACAAATTAAGTACATTTTCATAAACTGTTTAGAAAACATTTTCATTTACATGATCAAAGAATAGTAAATGAGAAACATAAATTGGGACAAATCATTTTGTTCACGTACATGCAAATTAAAAAACTTGGTAAGGTTACGAATAATTTAGTTGTGAGCTTATGTTTATCATACCATAATACTGTGTAATGCATGGACATGCAAATATAGCAATCAAAATACCTTGGACTATTTCTTGACGCACTATGCTATTTCATTCACATGTATTTCATATTTTTGCAGAATACAAAATGGCGCCTGACAGAATTACACCAACTTTACCTATCTGGTCGTCTATGCTCTTATTGTTCTTTTGTCTAAATGGATTAGAGACAGTGAAGTGCCAAGGTACGTATTTTTCTCAAATTGAATATTTAATGACTTAAACTATCAAACTCAGATGTAAACAAATTATATTAGTATCCACTGTTATTTTTGAAAAGATGAGAAGCCGATGTTTGAGTTCGCATCCAGGTTAAATTAGACAGTTGCCCGGAGGCGGGGGGGGGGGGGGTGTATTCACTAATACGGTATACGGGGATGTACCGCTTTAATATGTTACTTTTTTGCAAAAATTCCCTAACACGGGGTATGATTTTGTGCTGCAAAATCCCTAAAAGTGCCCCCACATTTCTGATCTTGGTCTTAAACATGGGTTACTATTTTCGTCAGGATAATATCTCAACCATAATCTCGCTACAGTGAAAATTCCAGATGCGAAAATCCCGCAAAAATAATTGAAATCATTTTGCTTTTTCATCCAAAGTCCTCGCCGATGGTCGCACAGATTTATCAATATTATTAATTTTATCTCTGCTTCTGACTAATTTACAAACTGGTAATCCCACCCCCTTCTCGAGCGTACGCAAAACAAATTCTGTGTATGCAACACACGAAGAATCACAACTTAGCCAATGCCACTACAACTTCCGGCTACCATTTTTTGAAAGAAGCAGGAAACTTGCTTTAGAGACGCGCCATTAGATATCCAAGGTGAGTAGGAAGTTTTCAGAAAAAGACCCCCCCCCACATGTAACAAAAAATGTCTCCTTCCACATTATACGTTGGATAAAAAAAATCACCCCATGTTTAAAAATGAAAAGAAAACAAATTCACCCTAAAGATTCAGTTGAAGAAAAAAAAAATCGACCCCTGAAACTGGAAAAGCTGTTACTACGACAAATTAAGGTATGTGAAAGTGTAAATCATTCATGCAAATGAAATACAGCTATACTTTAAACATAGGTTGCGTTTTGAATGGAAGTCCATAATAATGGGTACCAATTTATGCCAAAATGACCTTTAAAAATGAGGTAGCCCTACCTCTCCAATGCTACGCTGATGCATAATAATATGTGATTCTCAATCTGATATTCTGAATTGAATACTTTTTGGCTGGCCTATATTGATTTTGTTTGTCTGGCTTTCTTTCGAACTGCATTATGCTGGCTCCCATGATGATAGGTTCTTTCTTTCTCCTCGTTTATCTTATGATCTTATCTTCTTCTTCTTCTTCTTCTTCTTCTTCTTCTTCTTCTTCTTCTTCTTCTTCTTCATTCTCTTCTCCTCTAAGTAAAGGTTTATTATATACCTATGCCTTATCAGGGTGTTCAATTTTGAAAGTAATTTTGCTTTCGGTTCGTTTTTTTTTTACATTCTCAAGGGTCTTACGAGCTTCGATTGGTCAATGGAAGCGCGCCAAACGAAGGTCGGGTTGAAATGCGATCGAACTCCTCGGACTGGATGTCATTGTGCGGCGCGTACTGGGACATCGGTGACGGATCGGTAGTCTGTCAACACCTCGGCTTCACCAACGCGACTTCGGTGTCGCGTACGGCCCGCTTCGGGTCGAGCACGGGACGGATCATGTCTACGAACTACCAGTGCACGGGGAGTGAGAGTCATCTCGAGGATTGTCCAGTGGGGCAGTTTTCCGAGGGGGACTGCCAACATTCCGCTGACCCAGGTGTGGTCTGTTACCCTTCAACCCCAGGTAAGACTGCAATTATTTGAAGACCATCGCTAAGGGTTTTAATCAAAAGAATTAAAACTGATATAAATCATTCATATTCAAGTATGAGTCGATCCATAAGTTTTATTTTAAACTACTTGGGAATGGAATTTCTTGGAAGGTTTCAAGGAAATATTTCAAAGTTTTAGAGTATTTGCCCTTCTATCTTCTTGTTTCTTCGTCCGTTTGGAGACGCATGGCAAACAGAAGTAAAAATGAATATCGATTAGTTTTTGTTAAGATTAGTTTTTGTTAAGATTCCTAAAAATACGTCTGTGCATTTTCATTATTGACTTACATTCATTTTCAGTTTCTCTGTCGTCTACCGCAATTTTTAAGGTATAATTATATTTTCAGTTGTACATGTGATTGTTTAATGATTCGTATGACGACTACAACAGACAGTAAAACATTAACAAATTTCTGGAAGTGGGCAAAGAATGAATTACTGGAGGCACGAGAGGGGGGAGAAGTAGAAAGAGAAAGAGAAAGAGAGAGAGAGAGAGAGAGGGAGAGAGCAGGGTTGGGGGGGGGGGGGGGGGTGTATGGGAAAAATCTTTGTCCAGGATTCAGCGATTTAAGAGCTTTGTTGGTTAATCGCATGTATTATGATGACCGTTTTTCCTTCGTCGGCAAATTTGAAAAGTTGATGACCATTTTTGTAGTTGATAACGCCAGGCGCGGATCCAGGATTTCTTAGGGGAGGGGGCCCAACTTTTTTTTTTTACTCTCGAAAATTTGAAAATCGCGCCGGCCGAAAAGTCGCTCAGTGGGGGGGGGGGGGGGGGTAAAGAGCACAATTTTTTTTTTTTTTTTTTTTTTTTTTTTTGCTCCCGAAAATTTGAAAAACGCGCCGGCCAAAAATTCGCTCAGTGGGGGGGGGGGGGGGGGGGGGGGGGGGGGGGGGGGGGGGGGGGGGTAGTGAGCACATTTTTTTCTCAAGGGGGGGGGGGCCCGGCCCCCCCCCCCCCCCCTGGATCCGCCACTGGATAACGCTACCATTATCGGGAATTTGAAAATCTGAAAAATATTTTTTTTTAAATCATGAACACATAAGTCTTTTTTTTTTTCTTTTTTTTTTTTACATGTCATTAACCCAGACTCCGTCACGAATGGTCATCATAGATACTAACTAAGTATACCTTCAGTCTGACATTAGAAACAATTGCAAATGTTTTTTTGAGGCCGCCATCCTTGTCAAGCTTTGCTTATGATTGCGGTCTCCTGCACTTTTCCAACACAATAGTTCGGATAATACTTTAAATTTATGATACTATGTTATGGAAATAATAAGTTTCGTTATTATATGTACATATATTATGTAAAAAAAAAAACATTTTGACATGAAGAAATTATTGTTTGTTTATGTTGTATTATACCTTACATTTATATGTTCTTTGTTATTCAGTTATATTTTATATGGAAAAAAAATGCAGAAATAAAATAAAATAAAATCAAAATCAATATCAAACCCGAATGATTCAAACTAGCATATACGCTTTTATCGTCATTTTCATTTTCAATAGCGTCGATGATGACGACGATGCTACCTAACCTGGTGACAACGCTTCCGCCTGATGTACCCATACCCGTTCGGCTGATGGGCGGGAATAGTCCCTTTCAGGGGAGGGTAGAAGTCTATCTCAATAATGCTTGGGGAACGATCTGCGATGATAGCTGGGATACTACCGATGCTCGGGTTTGTATACTTAGTATAACTGTAAAGACTTTCGAAAAATCAATTCAAGGGAAAAATCTAATTGCTCGAATTACGCACATGTAGTACGTCATTTTCATGTTCGACAATTTCAATAGATGACGCTCAAGCCCTATGCTACGGTCACAGAGGTTCGTACGAACGACAATTTCGTACGAATCTCCCTGTTTTTCCATTGTCTTCCCGAATTTTCATTGTCTGAAAATCGTTCGTACGGCGTTCGTAGCAGTTCGTAATGGCATTTGTGACCGAGGCTTTAGGTTGATATGTTCGAAAGTAGCTGTGATCGAGTTAATCTAATTTGGAGAAAGTGGCCATCTTCGGGTTTTTTCTGGTTATGTCTTCCCTTCTTATCTCTTCCCCGTTTTGTTTGATACCCTTTACAATTTTCCTCTTTTTTGTTTGGAAGGTTTTGTATCGTATTCACGATTTTAATTTTTCAAATCTTGTGTTTTCGTTTTAGCAACCTCTTCTTCCACTCCTTGTCTCGTTTTTTTTCTTTTGCTTTTAATTCTTCCTACAAAAGGCGATACTCATATATATTAACTCCAGCATTTTTAATTATTTCCATTTCGTATTACACGAAAAAGAAGATGAATAAGAGGAAGAAAAAGAAGAAGGAGAAGAAGAAGATTTGTTTTAATGGGATCGGTAGTACACGTATACGATACAAACCAAAAAGTATAGACAATTTTCGTCAAAATTCAAATTAATGCAATACGAAATTAGGTAGCAGTGAGGTAAATTTGTCCCAGCTCACACTCTCATCTTTCAAACAATCTATCAATATATTCAAGTTTAAACATTTATATTAACTTACGTCAACAACTCCGTCGTTTATCAATACACCAATAGATCGTCTGTCGTCAACTCGGCTTCCAAGAAGTTTTCGCTGCTACCACCAACGCTCGTTTCGGCCAGGGCCTCGGACCAATCCAAATGGACGACACTCGATGCTACGGCAGCGAAACGTCAATCCTCGACTGCCAACACCGTGGCATTGGCGTCCACAATTGTCGGCACACGGAGGACGCTGGCGTGATATGCTTGCCCGAATGTAAGAGAAAAATAAGCGTGATGATGATGATGACGATGATGACGATGATGGATGATGATGATGATGATGATGACGATGATGACGATGATGGATAATGCTGAAGATGATGATGAGGATGAATTGATGATGATGATGGCGGATGATGATGGTGAATGAAAATGATGGTGAAGATGATGATGATGACGATGATGGATGATGGTGATTATTATGATAATGATGATGAAGAAGATGATGATGATGACGATTAAGATCAAGATAAAGACGATGATGGATGATGATGATGAATTGATGATGACTATGATGATGATGATGATGGCGGATGATGATGGTGAAGGATGATGGGTGATGATGACGACGATTAAGATGAAGATGAAGATTCTGATGATGATGATGAGGATGATGGTGATAATGAATTGTTGATGATGATGATGATGATGGCGGATGATGATGATGATGATGAATTGATGATGGAAGATGATGACGATTAAGATGAACATGAAGTTTCTGATGATGATGCTGGTGGTGGTGACAATTACACCCCAAAGAAGAAAAAGACGACGAAGAAAGAGACGGAGAAGAAGATTGTGAAGAAAACGAAAATGAAGAAGAAAATTATGATGATGCTGACGAAGATGGCGATGATGACGAGCTGTCAGTGATAAAGAAGATGCAATAGCGCTGTAGAAGAAAAAGATTATGAGGATGATCATGATGGTGGTTATGAATGTCAAGAGTCAAACTCAGTCTTTTCGTAAAGGCGCTGAAAGTAAGCATTGAAAAGGATGTTACAAGCTCATCAATATAACATAAATTTGTTCAATCACTGCAGCTACAGATGATATTTAGTATGATCATGTGGAGACCTGGTGCGTTTTAAATCAGTAGACCAACTCTTTACCCAATATAGGATTTAAAATAATAATAACAATAATTAATACATTGGAATGTATTTCAATCAGTTTTATTCTCGTCAAAACAGATAGGTTTATATATATGCAAATCAAGTTTTTATTTTGTTTACCTTTGTCACGCAGCCCGCTTAGCTGGCGGCAGCAATCACTCCGAAGGTCGCGTCGAGGTCAGGGTGGGAGAACAATGGCAGACGGTATGCGGCGTCGGTTTCGACGACATAGATGCGAACATTGTCTGCAATCAGATGGGGTACGGAGAAGTTCTTAGCATGTCGCTTGGCAACGACCGGTACGGCAACGCCACCGGCACTGCTGTGGTCAAGAACGTCAACTGCAATTCCAACTTTCAGCTGATGTATCAGTGCGCGTCGGAAGTGGTACCTGACGGGGACCCACAATGCACCAGCGACAATGACGTCGGCATCGTCTGCTCAAATTCTGGTGAGTGAAATGTCTTTCCCGGTCCCATTTTTCCTTGGAGCTTACTTTGGAATAATTTAGAGCAACAAGCCGAATAAACGAGAAGATTTTTTTTTGGAACTTAGCAAGTCGACTTATTTAGGACGAGAAGATGACGACGAGTCGACTTTTTGTTTTGTTTTTTGGTTGTCATCTGAAAGGGTATAGTCATGTACAAGGTGACCCATACCCCTATCCCCAAAATGTTTAGACTGCTTTGCCCGTTTGAGAAAAAAATACGTCTAAGACCCCCTAATCACCCGAGTCCCCTTTGAGTGACTTTTCAGTGCGTCATCATCGCGGCATCTTGTCTTCTTGTCCTACACAAGTCGACTTGCCGAGTTGCAACAGCTCGTCTTCCCGGGCCTTCTCGTCCTAATCTCGTCCTAAACAAGTCGACTTACTTAGTTCCATAACATTTGGAACAAAATGACGTAGATTGGATTTGCCGATATAATTTATACAGATTCATAATTTATACTAATTTATACATGCTCCCCTTCCTTCATCTTCCTTCTCCCGCTCTTTCTCAGATTCTGCAATGGGACTTCGTCTGGTTGGCGGCAACAACATCTTCGAAGGCCGCGTCGAGGTTAACATCAACAATACCTGGGGAACCGTGTGCGATGATTACTGGGACATGGAAGACGCTTCGGTAGTCTGCAACCAGCTCGGGCTCGGCCGGGCCGTCGAGGCCAGAAAGTACGCCAGCTTTGGCCGGGGCTTCGGACCGATCCACATGGACGATGTCCTGTGCTCTGGAGACGAAGCAACCATCTTTGATTGCGAATATAACAACCAGACTGGATGCTCTCACAGTGAAGATGCCGGTGTGGTGTGCGCTCCAAAAAGTGGGTACCGACTGTAGATAGCAATTGCTTTATAAATAATAAATGATGAAAAGAGATTCCTTTAAAACAAAATCGTATCCATGCATAATAGCCTTTTATTATATCGAGTTGCCAAAGGCAACTATTTTGGTCAAATCAACTAAAGGACAATTTCAATAGCCTATTGTATTTCCCATAGATATCATTTTCGGGTTACGTTATACGTCATTGTCATGCTTGCACATTTAAATATAGGTGACGACCGTGACGCACAAGTCTCTTGCCTTCGGTCGGTTTGTCAAAAGTAGTTGCTATCGTGTTAAAATTTATTCTCATCATATTTGTTTTCCTATGAATCACTTGCTGATACCTTTTGGTACAATAACTACTTATTTCACTATAACTTTTATTCAGAGCAGATTACCTAGACGATTTGATTCCAAGAATCATCTTGTCGGGTCAGAATGCATTCTCATTGAATGTGAGGGCCACAGAAGTCGCAGGCAACCGGTTTTCTGTCAGAATTCTTGCAGAACGAGTCGCGTCTTTATAAAAAAATTATCAACTTTTGAGGCCCTTTATTTCCTCGTAATTTTTGTTTTTAATATCCTCCAATAATATTCTACATAACATGAAAGTAAATGCTGTTGTTTTTGCTCCCTGTCAAATCTCAGTTCGTCTCATGGGAGGTATGAACTCGTACCAGGGTCGAGTAGAGATGTTCGTGAACGAAGAGTGGAGCACAATCTGCGACACGCAGTGGGATGAGGACGAGGCCCGAGTTGCTTGTCGTCAGCTCAAGTACGGCTTCGCAGCTACGGCCAAGACCGGTTCGTACTTCGGAGAGGGCACGGGGCCGATCCTCGCCGAGAACATACGGTGCAGCGGTTATGAGGGGTCGTTGGTGCAGTGCCCGCAGTTCGGCATCTCGCCCAACACGACGTGCGACCACTCGCGTGATGCTGGTGTGATCTGCTCACTCCCCGGTAAGGATGTATATAGTCTAGGATATTATCCCAAAAAAGTTACCTATATCATCCATTATGCATGAACAACAATGTTGTTGGCATAACCTAGCTGAAGCTAATTTAAATCCCTGCTGTACTACTTGTAGCTACTTGCTCCCTCTATATAGAAAACAATGCCTAAGCGGTGCCCGTTGGTCCCCCATGATCCTCTTTTTCTTATGTGAAATGAAAGCTGAGTTGATGAGATAACCACCTGTCAGTGACCACGCTGGGTGGTCTAATCCCTCCTGGCGAAACTAGTACAGACGGGCTTTAAAGTTTGGCCCCGGTCGAGAGCCCCCGAAACAGACACCAAAGTCGGGCCGATTTCACCACATAAAGCCCATTCACCACACTTTATGAACGTACCATCATATAAAAATCAATTTGTTGACATATCGTAGGTGAGTTCAAGGGCGAAGGGGTTGGATTTCTCCTTTACAACTAAAAGAAGCGACTTTTAGGGTAGCAATTTCAGGAATAAACAAAAACTGCCCCTTCTTGGGGAGCAACTGTATTTATTTATAAAACTCATAAAATACTCAGTAATCCATTAAAGGGAAAGTCCACCCCCAAAATAAGTTTGTTTCGATAGAGGCAGAATAATAATAAAATCAGGTGAGTGAAAGTTTGAGCAAATTCTGAATGAAAATAAGAAAGTTATGAATTATTGAAGTTGTGATCAATCAAATACAAATTGGCAACTCTGTGACTTATTATACGAGCTCTCCTTCATTTGCTTTGTGCATAATATTCCATAAAATCATGTTTTCTTCGTTATTGATGACGGAATATATATTTGTTCCTTGCAGGGGGAGTATAGAAACATATTTGCAATTATTATATTTAGGGTGCATGTATGGTTGAAATTTTCTTGAGGGAAAATGAAAATTTTAGATTTTTTTTAGTACTGAGCAAATGGAAGTTGAGCTCGCATGATACGTCATAGAGTTGCCAATTTGTGTTTGATTGATCACAACTTCAAAAATCCTAACTTCCTTATTTTTAATCGGAATTTGCTCAAACTTTCACTTACTTGTTTCTCTCATTTTTCTACTCCTATTAAAACTAACTTAATTTCAGGGTGGACTTCCCCTTTAATCTACTCAAAACGCATAAGCGTGGTCACTCAATCATGTGGTTTGATTAGGCTGACTAAGTTGTATCTTGATTTAAATGTTACCAATGTACAAAATCAAGAGTATGTCCACAAAATCAGGACTTTACTCGACCGAACATCTCCATGACTACATTCAGTATATCTTATGATGATTACCGACATAATTCAGAACTGCGGATACTTCAGTCTTTTATAGCTATGTCAACCACACGTCTGAATACATCCCCTCACTCTTCCAGCAGTAAAGAAAATCATATTCACTTCGATCTAATTCAGTTCCTTCCCTCCTCTTCCCAAAACCACGAAATAAAACTATCTTCAAATTCTTTAATCTGTTGTCCCAAGACTATTGACTGAACTAACTACATTTCTAAGAACTAGTACTTATGTTTTCTTAATCGAAAAACATTTACCTATTATTTTCCAAATTTACTATTTTCCAGTAGTTTATTAACTAAGTAACAGCGCCTTAAGGCATAAATAGTCAAGTTTGACTGAATTGCGTTAAAACCTAATCAAACAACAAACAACAACCATTTACACCCGCTGGAAAATGCGCTATACAAATCAAATTTATGTTGTTGTTGTTGTTATAATAACAATAATAATTTGTACTATTATTATTTTTATTATTATCACCTTCTCGTTCATACACTCAGAAAACAACATCACTCTTCGGCTGGTCGGTGGCGAAAACGCCTACGAAGGTCGGATCGACATCGAGCTCGATGGCATCTGGGGCACGGTCTGTGACAACAACTGGGACAAGAACGATGCTCGTGTGGTATGCAAGCAGCTAGGTCTTGGTCCCGGCATCGAGGCCGCGAAAGGAGCCACCTTTGGACCGGGTACTGGACCGATCTACGTGGACAACCTGGCCTGTAGAGGACACGAGTCGTCAATCGCATTCTGTCCCAACAATGGGGTAGAAGTCCACAATTGCACTCATGATAACGACGCAGGAGTCGTATGCTCAGCTCCTAGTAAGACTTATTATGTTTTACTCCCCTTTAATAGTAGAAGTGTAGTATAAGAAGTATACGAACACGAGGCTAATCTGCCACAAGATCAATTGTACAATTTTAAGAACAATATATTATCAGATAAATGATTAAAAGCGCGGTAATACATGCAAAACAGAAAGAAAACGAAACGGATTGCATTTACTGTATTAATCGGAAGAAATAAGAAAAGAAAATAATACATACAGAATTTTCATTTTTTATTAAACTACAAAGCGATAACTGAAGCAAAATACAATTATTTTTTTATTAGTATTCCAATAAAAAAGCGAACATTGATTGGAATGTCAATACTTATATTTTCGAGGATGTGACCTAATATAAATATATTTAAAACGTACATCAATATTATATGATTGCAACTCATTCTAATCTTTTGCAGTCGGAAGAAACACATGTGGTTGTCTATAAATAATTCTAACCAGCCACAATTAGGTATATTAAAGTATTTTTAAAGTCTTTCAATGCACGATGATTACAGCAATAGTCAGTAATATGCCAGTCTCAGCACTTCTTATTTTTCATTTATTTTCAGTTCTTAGCAATTGAAACTTGTCGCAAATATAGGCATGGTGATTTTGTTCAGTTAATAATAAAAATGAAGATAATGATAACAATATTAATAATAATAATAACATAATAATAATAATGATGATGATTATAATAATAATAATAATAATAATAATAATAGTGATAATAGTAATAATAATCATCATCATGGGTTATTTTATAGTGCTCATGTCCGACATATTTGACTCCTGACGCTCCACTGCTATTTATAAGGCGCTCTAGCATTTCAAGGAACTAATTCCTACAGGGTACCTATTAACATCACCTGGGTGGGGAGTGGCAAATGTGGATAAATGTCTACTTTTTAAAGCTCACTACATTCAGGACCCATACTTGCATTCAGGACCCATACTTGCATTCAGGATCCAAAGCAGAATTCAGGTCCTGCAGTCACGACCCGCACTTGAAGTTATAACATTTTCTTTCGTGCTTTAATCATAGTCCGACTTGTAGACGGTTCCGGTCCGTACGAGGGCCGCGTGGAGATTCTCCGCAACATCGTATGGGGGACTGTATGCGATGACGGTTGGGACATCAACGACGCCACTGTGGTCTGTAACGAACTCGGCTTCGGCAGCGCCAAGCGGGCCGTCCCCGCTAGCTACTTCGGCTCTCGCTCTTATGGCTCTATCCACATGGATAACGTGGCTTGTGTAGGGGATGAACAAAGCCTCACAGACTGCCCACACGACACTACCCATGACTGCTCGCATTTGGAGGATGCTGGAGTTATCTGCACAGGAAAAGGTATATGGTTAACACGATCAGATGTACCCTGATCTGTCGCTACCTCCAAACACATAAATGAGCTTTGTCAAGTTACATTACAAGGAAGACGAGGTCATAGCCAAAATGCCTTCCATGGCATCTTGTTTAAGGTTGCCAGAGGTAAAAAGTGAAAAAACAAGATTTATCTGTGAATTAGCCCTAAATGTTAATTTGCATAATTTGGCAACAAACAATTCCCTGATTTCATAAAGTCACATGTAAACAACAGTATTTTTCAATGCTTTATCTTGATGTAGATGTGGCACGTGACTTTGCAATTGGCTCCCTCCAAAGACATACATGAGCTTTGCCAAGTTAAACTACAAAATATTACGAGGTCACAGACACAATTTACGTGATCACATTACTGAGAATATGTCGAAGGTTTTCAAATGTCAAGAATTAAAAATCTGTTCTCTACTTCAAAGCAGTTTCTTTCCATGTGTTTCCTTGGCAGATCTTGCATGTGATCTTCCATCACTCCCTCCAAACACATACATGAGTTTTGTCAAGTCACATTACAATGAGGATGAGGTCATAGCCGTCATCTGTACCTATGGCAACGGGTCGGTGGAGTGGCGATGCGGCACCGACAAGAGATGGACAGGACTATCCCTTACCTGTCCTCCCAGGAAAGGTTAGCAATCTCTGCTTACATCTGCTGATCATCAGGAACCCGTCTCACAAAGCCTTTTTTCGATGACAAATGACACAAATCAGTGACATATATGCAGATAACCAATCAGAAGCAAGGATTTCAGCAACTTATAAGAAAGACTGTCATTTGTCACCGATGGCAAGTTTTGTGAAACGGGCCCCTGATGACAATACAATGCAATGCAATACTTAGCAGTACTATACGATAACTAAAGAGTTAATAGATTCTACAAAAACGAAGAATAGAACGAATAAAAACATAATTAGACCAAAGCTTTTTGTCTTGCACATGTCAGAGTAAATCGCAAAAATGTGATCTTTCGCGCGCTTAGTACTCTCAGGTTCAGTTTATATTTGTCTGATTTCGGCTTTCTGTTTATTCTTGAAAATAACCCCGATGAGTGGAAGAGGAAAAGCTGTCTCGTTGCTATATGATAACTAATTCATTGAAGCGCTTTTGTAACTGGATATAGGAATGGTCATTTACCAGGTAGTAATTGGCTCAGCCAGTAGAGCGTCCGCCTCACAACCGGGAGGTCGTGGGTTCGAACCCCGGCCGCGTCTTAGCAAAAGACGTTAAAAGATGGGAGTTGTTGTTACCTTGTTTGGCGTTCAACAATAAGGGACAGAGCAACGTCGACCTGGCGCTGCTCAGTGGCTGCCGGGCTCACGATCAATTGGGCAAAATGGATTTCCGTTTCGATTTAATAAAATTTGGAGTGGACTATTAGGCTATTATTATTATTATTATTATTATTATTATTATTATTATTATTAATTGTAAATAATAATAATACTAATACTCAGTTTTTATATAGCGTTTATTTTCTTTACGTAGTACATGTACCTTTAACTTCCTTAAAGGTATGTTCTGCATGTCAGACAGGAATTAAAGGTGAATTTTCAGAGGAGATCGGGTGGGGGCGAGGGGGGAGGAGGGGAGGAATAAGTGCCCGTCTGCCCGATGTAATATATATATACTTTTTAATACATGCATTGCTTTGTATAAAAGTCTGAAATTGATACTGGCTTTCAGTACTTTTTTTCTGTGCAGGTTTCTAGAAAGTCTTAATGATGTTTTTTAATTTGTTTAAAAGAAGATGTGTTTCCATGACACTATCTAAATGTTACCATTTCTTTTTCTATAGGACATCCTCGTTCCAATAAAACAATGATTGTAAGCATAGTTGCTGTATTGGTGGGTCTAATTCTCATTGGATTGATGATTATCTTGATCTTCTTTGTCGTACGGTAAGTTCGTCGTCATGTTATAATAATAATTCGTCAGAAATAGATGACCATTCATTCTTTATTACACTGCATTTGAAAAACGGTAACAATTTTGCAATCTAAAGTTTCCTTTTGTTGGAGTTAATTGGGGATTGATTCGGTAAAATCTCATAGTTTCTTTTTTAATCAGGGCCATCTTTAAATCTTAGAACGGTCATAAGTTTCGCCTCCTTTATACAAAGTGAACACCCGAGAAGATTAAAGCCTTATATTAATTTAGGATGCTAATAATTCTGTTAAACTTGACCCTGAATCTAAATCAAGTTAGAAAAGTTGAAAAATTAGACCCTAGCATAACTTCTTTTTTTTTTGGGGGGGGGGGGGGTGTATACATGTACCCGAATTTGAACAAAACCCTAAAGCCAACGACGGGTTTAAATTCAGTAGAAAAACCTTTATTTTTATGAATTCGTAATCCACAGGAGTCAACGCAGACGAGGGTTCGGCGGCGCCATAACGATGTCTGACGTCATCGCTCATATAGAAACCATCAAGAACGCTGCCACCACCAACGGTGATCGTAGCAAGCTGGAGGGATGCACCACGGCCATGCCCGAAAACGATATCACGGGTGTCGACGTCGAACCCTTCAATGATCACGCCGTGGAAAATCCTAAGTACTACGACGGAAAAGATTCCAAATCCAACGCAACGGGCGGTTATGCTCGTCTTATCGAATAGTTCGAATGGCTTCTTGGGCAGTACTGTTATAATTTTGAAAAGACTTTGTATGTATATACCTGTCAAACCGTCAAAATGACTTTACATCCATTCCAAACTGACCAGTTCTTGGCTGTTGAAGGATATGTAAAATAATGTTTGATAAACCTGTTGTAGGTCCGTTATCGGTCTCGTTGATGCGACTGAGAAAACCTTCGTCACACCGTCAAACCAATCCCAAGTAGCCCGATGTTATCCATTCGAGATGATTACGGTTTATACTATCATTTTTATGTCAGTGCATTCGTGTTTCTAGGCGGTTTGGAATCGTTTCCCTTATTTTTGTCAGGGTCTGTTAGGTTGAACTTCCCCGGGAGATCCAAAACCGGGACAAACGCGGATCGGTTGTGGACTATTCAGGGACAGTTCGGCACGCATCGATCGATTCCCGTTAAAGTGAACGGTAAACGGTTTCGACGGTTTTGGCCGGTGTGACTGCGGTTTCTACAATATCAAAATTAAGACGTATTTCAATTTTATCTTTGATTTTTAGATTACATTTCGCTTGCAAATATATGATTAAAAAAATGTTTTCGCTTATTTAAATTTGTTTTGAAAATATATGACAGGATTACTGCTGGCAAACTAGAAGTTTATCAGAAATTCACAATGTAATAATTAGCCTCATCTGGGTCCCGTCTTACAAAGAGTCGCGATTGATCCAAATCAATCGCAAGTCCTGCAATCAATCGTACGTTTGCAGTCTCCTCTCTCTTAAGTACATAGTTGCGATTGATATCAATCGCAAATAAGTTTCGATTGATATCAAATCGTTGTAAGACGGGGCCCTGGACTTGCAAGCCATCAGCATTCAGGATAGTATGGAGAAACCTGGAATATAATTTTTTTTTTTTTTTACAAGTCATGCTGTATGGTGTTTTAAACTTCATCTAAAGAAAGGTCAGGGAAATTTCGTTTTCATGGAATGCAGGGAACCCAATGTTTATTTTTCCGACGTCTTGTGAATTTAAAAGAGATACGGATCGTGTATTTATATTAAATATGTACGATGTACCAGCCTGAGAAATTTGATCATTCTATGTCTCAAATTTGTTGCCTTTTCCTTATTTTATTGTTTGCCAGAAACAATCAATGGTAGATATTTATCGGCTTTCACAATAAAAAAGAATATTTGTCGAAGATTCGGTATTGTGGTAACCACAATCGTCGGCAGCTGAAAGCTGAAAGGTAATGCTGCTTGACTAGGTTAGAATGGTGAAATTCTACTTAAAGAGACTTGGTAACATTGTTAAAGGTGAAATTCAAAGAAAATCACAAATATGTCAACTTATGTATCACTAGAAACTGGTAAGCTAACAGATGGCCATCGTACGAGTTTGAGGTCAGCTACATATCGGGTGATTTATAAAAATAAAAATACAACCACCTCCATAGCAGCTGGGATATACGAGAGATTCGCCAGAAAAATAACGATGTTTTAATGACGTCACAACAGGGACCAATACTGCCCAAGCAGACGACATCCATAAAGAATGAACATAATTGCAAAGCTATTATTTGTCAAATTATAATGAGTTTAGTGTATATAAATGTACTAGCACGTCAAACCGATCAAAAGGGGACATGACCCGATTCTGATAACTAAAATCTTATGCTTGTAAATACACAGGATAGGGGTTAATTAAAAATCAAAGAAACCAGCCTTTCAAATTGAAAAGCCCCCGGATTGATATTAAGGACGACATTTGTTCCCTCTTAAAACGCCGAACATACCGCGGTGTCTGCAGCTGATGATATACAATGGCGTCTCATTTTGTTTACAAGCGACAGATTCTTTTATTTTTGTATCGCTGCATTTGTCATCAAAATAAAACCATGCGCGGGGTTTAGAGTGAGGCAATAGATTATACATTTAGCCTGGCGGTAGTGAAGTAAGAGAAAGAACTCAAGAGAAGATGAAAATACAGGCACTGAAAATGTGTGAGATGTCATGGTACATCGTCTGCTGGTGCAAATCATGTCCCTGCTGTGATCTCACACATCTCAGCAGCGTTCGGAGAGCTATTCAGGTGCTATGCCGGGGCTGTATTTAAGCGTTTTGTAATTTATAATAATCATTACTTCGAATGTTTCCAAGAATTGAATTTTGATAACCTTGTCGAATCAAAGTTTCAACCTTGCAATAATGAAAATAAAGCTAGATTTAAAATCAATGAATATCTACTTTAAGATGGGAGAAAATGGTGCTGAGGTAGTGATTTCAATTCTTGAAGCACGATTAAAGATAATCTGACAGTTTGAGTGAAAACAAACCATTTTTGATGATAAAAATTGGGAAAAACTGATCTGATCGATTTCTTAATTTTCCTAACTATATTATTACAGTTTATTTATATTTTAGGGGAATGTAAATCGTCACAAAGCAATGAAATGACTTTATATACCAATCCAGACATTTAAGTGTTGAACGATTTTTAAAAGCCTGTTTTATTTCTTATTTTCATGGACAGACGGTACAGTAGAAGGAATATAACAAGTAACATTTCATACACAAATTACACAGATTTTTTCATCAACCTTCAACAATATTACTGAGTCACTTTAAATATATATCTTGTACATTCCCAAAATGTTGATACCAGAACTGATGTTACACGTAGTATACTCTGATATCACATTGTTGTAAATGTTTCTTATATCATGTATGAAGAGAGATTGAATACGTGTTCTCTTTTCATAATGTGTGTTATGATTGTAATTATATTTCCTTGAGTGTTAGATTTCAGGAAGTCTTGTCATGTGTATATAAATTCATACAGAAATACATCCGCTACTTGGCATTTCCCCCGTACACGCATGATCAAAGTTTCCATGACCAATTTGATTTAGATTTATTAAGAAATGGGAGGATATTATAAATAGATAGATAAATAGATACTATAAGATTTATACCCAATAAAGCCATATTGCCTACATTTTAAACGTGTTATTTCTTTAATGCAATTTTTTTATATATAAATATATATTTTTTTATTTTACTTATACCTACATCATTCCATCACTGTCATGCTCTGTCTGCTTGCTTCACCCGTCTGCCTCCTGTACTGTCTGTCTTTCCTCTCTGTCTTACTTTCCCTTTGTCCGTCTGTCTGTCTCTCAAGTATTCCTATCTTTTCTTCTCACATTGTCGTCTTTACCTATCTCCCTCTCCCTCGCTTTCCCTCTTATACCTGATATAGTGGTTCATTCACTTGAATCTTAATCTAATGGCTGAGGGTCTTGCCTTATCGTGCGAAACGCCAAGAGGAAGTAAATGAAGAGAAGAGGAAGAAGAAACAGAAAAAAGTAGTAGTAGTAGTATTAGTAGTAGTAGTATTAGTAGTAGTAGTAGTAGTAGTAGTAGTAGTAGTAGTAGTAGTAGTAGTAGAGAAGAAGAAGAAGAAGAAGAAGAAGAAGAAGAAGAAGAAGAAAAAAGAAAATTTCCAATACCTCGGTCAACGACTACAAATCGAGTGTTGACCGATGTTCGGTCTTCTATCGGTCCGGTGTCAGTGACTGAAGTATTACAAAGTTGACCCATGTTTTACTCCGAGGGGGGGGGGGGGGGGAGAGAGATACTTACATATTAGGACTTACGGGGGTACCGCTCTAATGGGTCATTTTTTTCACAAAAGATCCCCAAACATGGGTCCAACTTTTAACAAATATAACATTAAAAATGGGTCCGTTTTTTTCAAAATTTCCAAAATTTGCACACCCGAAATTGTGGGAAATGGGTCTTTTTTCGAGAAAAATGCCCCCAAATGCCCCTAATAAATGGGTAGGGGTTTCGAAGATTGAGAGTTACGCCACTTAAAAATCAAATCTGAGTACCCCCCCCCCTCCCGGGTTTGGTTTTACTACTATACCAACTTCGTTTCAGTGCTTTATTTCACTCTCTTTTACACACACACACACACACACACACACCCCCACACACACACGCAACTCTCCCCACACACTCTTTTTCTTTTCCTCCCATCAAGATGTCGTTTTTAGTTCCTTGACTTCCGAACACAAGATACATATAAAAAAATTGGAAGGAGAAAAAAGTTGGTCAAATATTAAACCATTCGTCTTCTCCCCTCCCCCTCTCACACACTCTTTCGTCATCTTTACTCTATGTATCCTCCAACGTTCATCAGCTCTCAAATGCTGGATTGCAAAGTCTTTTACTTTGATGTTATATCATTATTTCGCCAAAAATCTTTTACCTATACAGAAATACAACAACGACCTTGTCGTCAATCATATTTTTGCTGCTGTATATCCGGCTTCCTTTCATCACATTTTAGAAGACATCCTCTTTAAGTGTCTGAAGATGATAAGGATTTGAATATCCGGTCTATCCCATAAAAAGACTCTGATGAATTGAGGGAAGTAATAACAATTCAGAATGGTGAAGTTAATAAGTTAGTAATTTTAATCGATATTTATGGAAACGGAACTGACTAGTCATATGAAAAATAATCATAAGCGATAAATAGAAAGCGTAATGGGATAAAGAAGCTATTAATCCTTAAAAGCTTTCTCAAAAAATGAAAAGGGCTGAACTTACAAGAAATGAAGCTAAATAATAGAAGACAAAAATAGTACTTCTACTAGTAGTAGTAGCAGTAGTAGCAGTAGTAGTAGTAGTAGTAGTAGTAGTAGTAGTAGTAGTAGTAGTAGTAGTAGTAGTAGTAGAAGTAGTAGTAGTGGTAGTGGTAATCGTAGTATTATTATTATTATTATTAGTAGTAGTAGTAGTAGTAGTAGTAGTAGAAGAAGAAATAGAGGAAGATGAAGAAGAAGAAGTAGAGGAAGATGAAGAAGAAGAAGATGAAGAAAATGAAGGGGAAAAGTAGTAGTAGTAATAGTAGTAGTAGTAGTAGTAGTAGTAGTAGTAGTAGTAGTAGTAGTAGTAGAATAGGACAAAAAAGAAGAAGAGGGAAAGGAAGAGGAAAAGTAGAAATAGTACTAGTAGAACAAGAAGTAGAAGACGAAAAGGAAGGGGAATTATTGTTTTTTATTATTATTAGTAGTAGTAGTAGGAGTAATAGAAGTAGTAGTAGTGGACGAAGAAGAAGAAAAAAAGAAGAATGAGGAGAAGGAGAAGCAAAAGAAGAAGAAGAAGATGAAGAAGAAGAAGAAGAAAAAGTAGGAGTAGAAGAAGAAGAAAAAGAAGAAGAAGAAGGAGCAGAAATGGAAAAGAAGGAGAACTCGACGAAGAGAACGAAACAATAAAATATCTAAAAACTGCATATGGTTACTAAAAACTCTAGTCATCCATCGTTTTGTAACATTGCTGGTTGTCAATCATATTCAAGAGTGATTGATATCCAAGAGGATGGGAACATGGGTAGGGAGATTTCAAAGTGGATGGGTAGATTTTTAAAGAGAGAGAGAGAGAGAGAGAGAGAGATGGGAGGAAGCGTGAAATGGAAAGAGAGAGAGAGCGATAGGGAGAGATGACAGGGAGAGTGAGTGAGAAAGAAAGAGAGGAGGGGGAGAGCGGGAGAGAAAGAAAAGAACAAGAGAGGGACATTTTTTGGAGTGTGCGTGTGCGTGTGCGTGTGTATGTGTGTGTGTGTGTGTGAAAGAGAGAGAGAGAGAGAGAGAGAGAGAGAAAGAGAGGGGGAGGGGTGAGATATGTATTCCTATCGATCACTTAACATAAAGAATGAACAGAAACTTCCCGTATAGGCCTATTCGGTTAATCATGATACCGCATGCCCGTCGTTTGCATGATAGTGAAATCGAACAACCTGTCCTTTGAGTAAATAATGACACCCCCATTGGATTTCCTCTTGGGGTATGGAAGGAAATCTATTTTTGTTGTTATTCCTTTTCGGGAGATTGATACATGCAACCACACATTGCTAGTAAAAGCCAAGAGAGCTCAACAGAAAGACACCTTGTTTCATTTTCGGATACATCTACTTTACAATTTGTAACGTTAACACGCGGAATATCCTGCTGGAAATTTCATATTCCAAGAAAAATAGTTTGTGCAGCTTTAATTTAAAAACAAAAGATGTATCTCGTTCTTCTTTGGTACTGCAACTGTAGAGGATGGGAGGGGGTGGGGATGAGTAGGACAAAAACCTTTAAAAAATAAGTTTCCATCAAAAATATAACATCCGGTATTTTTATTTTAAAAAAGTAAGTCCATGAGGTGGTGGTGGGTTTTTTCTCCGTTCCTTTAAGACATCTTAGCCCAATTTTCTATTGTTCTAGGTCCGCTCACGATTCGGTGGCTCCCAGCGGAGGTGGAAAGGGCGAGGCTAACATGAAAATGGGTAATTTTAAATGGATTTCTTAAAAGAGTGGTATCAAATGGAAAATCATGACAATATGTCTTGAATTTGCTATAGCCAGAACAACACAGAGTAAACTGGACGTAGTGAAGTAAGGGGAGTCGAAGAAAAGCTAAATAAAAACAAAACATAGATTATCCAGAGGACAAAGGGTAGTATAACTGGAAAAGAAATAAATGTCAACCTTTTTCATTCTGCCTGGGACTCCATCCTGATGCACTAG